TTTTTTTTATTAGAATTAAAAAATAATAATTTTTATTTTATAATATTTTATTAATTTTATCAACTAATTATTAATTTTGTTAGTTAAAAATAAAATTTTGTTATCTAATACTAAATTAACAAATAGTTAAGAGAGTTAATAGTCAACTAATAAAATAATTTTATTAACTGATTGTTAACTCTATAAGTTGAAAGTAAGTTTTTATCAATTAACAGTTAATTAATAATATCTAATAGAGTTAATAATTAATTAATAAAACTAATAAAATATTATAAGTGAAGATTATTTTCTTTAATTCTATTAAGTAAAGGATTAAAAGTGTCATGATATAAGGTGAGAAATTAAATCTTATAAATTTAGTAAGATAAAAGGTTAAAAGTAAAGTTTTTTCTCTATTTACTTGCTTTTTTTTAAAAAGGTTTAAATACCCATTTGGTCCCTTAACTTTCTGATTTATGCCAAAATTATCCTTCAACTTAAAAAAATATTAAAATTATCCTTACACTTTAATTTTTAGTATTAAAATAATCTTTTTGTTAACAAAAATACTATGTAACTCATTATTTTGTCACAAATTAGTTCTTTTTTAAAATAATAATGACATATTAAACCAAATAATTATATTTTATTATTATGCTATATTTCTATTTACACATTAAATTAATATATAATTAAAGTTGAAAAACTAAATTGATATTTGTTTTCAAGGTTTGAGTTGGGTAGGGAGGAATTTAGGGAAAAGGAAGGGCTATCCCCTATTGTATAGCTCATTCAAAAGTACCAAAAAAAAATTAATACTATTTTCAAAATTTAAGATCTATTTTGATACTAAAAATCCAAATTTAAGAATAATTTTAATATTTTTAAAGTTAAAAAATAATTTTGACATAAATCTAAAAGTTAAGTAATTAAATTATTATTTTAAAGAATACTAATAGCATTAATTAATTTATATAATTTTGATTGAGAATAAAACCTAAAAAAAAAAACCCCCCAGAAACTTCCACATATCAAAATATTAAGCTAGACAAAGTAGAGGACACACATGGTGCACTGACGATCGCCATCAGTCCTACTCACAGCACATGGTCTACACACCTACGTGAATAACTCGAGAAAGAGCCAAAACAACAAAACAAAGTGTCCGCATGCTTGAAACCCAACCTTCAATCACACTACGTTTTCTGGTAGGGTACTCCCCGACCATGCGCAGCGCCCCTTGTCCCTTACTTTTTAATTTTTTATTTTTTATTTTAAAACATTGAGAAATTTAGGGATGCAAATACTTTTTCTTAACATCGAGGGAAGTTAAACTCTAAATTAATTATACTCATAAGATTTTTAGATGAATTACCGGATTGAAACGCTCAGTTCGTCCCTCACTTTTAATTATATAATTAATTTTTTTCAATTATAATAAGAGTTATAGATACCAATTTGTTGTAATATTTTTTTATATTAATTTTTTGATATTTGATAATTATATTAAATTTTGATTAGTTTAAAATTAAACTGCATCAAATCTCATAAAAAAAAGATTCTTCTAACGTTTATTTTTTTATTTATAAAATTTAAGCTTGAGAATTTTTTTAAAAAAATCGAATTCCTTTTACTTATTCCAATGACTCATTGATCTTATTTGTTGTAATATTGGTGTACAGAAATACGACTGACGTGGTATATGAAAGAATTTCGGCTGCAAACAATTCGTAAACCATATGCCTCCCATAAAAGTTTTACACCTAGTAAATGGAAACAAATATTTACTAATCATTCCACCTCCTATTTTTGCTCTCAGTATCTCTTAGAATCACGGCGTATCTCAAAAATAGGAAGGCCCATGCAATCATATCCCCACCTCCCTTGTTCTTAGCCGAGAAAATTGTAGCCCATTCCCCACCGACGGTAGCCACCGGCCACCCTACCTCCCAAGCAGCTGCTGGAAAGCCTCTTCATCATGTCACAACATCCATGCAGGATTAAGATTGGCAATGAAACCTAAAATCATAGGTTAATATATACATAGTCACAAACATGAATTAAATGATTTAATTAACCATCATGCGAGTTTATTCTGAATCAGCCCTGAAGATGGACAGGGCATAACTAAGTATAAACATAACTAATATACAAGCCTGAGGAGGATCTGATGCAAAAACAGATATATGAAACATAGAAAGGAGAACAGAGGCAATTGATTCAATTTCACCTTAAAATTAAAATGGAAGAAAGGATATTAAGAAGATTTGTAATCAATAGGAAGACAATTAAATTCAAACGAAGAGAAATCAACCCCTCCACCCTGTATACATTCCATCATCATAATTTTCCTTATCCGGATGACAGTAAGAGAGATTAAGGGTATGTTTGATATAACAGTTTGAGAGTAACATTAACAGTTTTGCCTAAACTACTAACTTGGAACCCCTGCTTTTCAAAGGATAGTACATAAAACGATGCTCTCAGCTACAGTAGAAGCCTATTTACTACAATCATGTAAAATAAC